TCTTTCAGTAGTTTTGCAACAAGGTTTAAAATTTACTTTAATTAACTACAGTGTATTTCCATAATGAGGATGTTTTAATATTGATCTACTGGTGATGGGGGAAGGGAGCATACAGAGGACAGCAGTATGCAAAAACTAAGTTACTGGGTATTTAAAGTCTTGAAAGCTTGGGGTATCTGAGTAAGTTTCTTGTTGTCTTACTGTTGAACTTCCATGACACTTCTTTCTTGGTATGTTCTTTAGAATTAAAGCAAGTGACAATCACAATGTTTACTGGTGAATTCGGTGATAGAAGTCACCGTTTTGAGTCAACCTGGTACTGAAAGCTAGCAGCTTTGAATAAAAACAACAGTGTGTGGTCAATTACTGGTCCTCAATTTGTAGACAACGTATACTTTTCCGCTTTTAATTTCTAAGAAGTTGGGTTTATGTCATTCCACGGACTTTCTGTTTTCAAAGTAGGGTAACGTTGCTGGTCAGTATGTTTCTGTGTACTAAGAACTGAGGATCAGGTTGTCAGTATTAGGCCCAGCTTGCCCCCAGCAAACACTTTCTACAGCAACTGAGGGAAGAATGTGAAAGACAACACAACTCTGGTAACTGGTCGTACTGGAGGAAAAAAAAAAAAACCAACCTCAAAAATCTGCAGTGTATGACTTGCATTCATAAAGCGGTGGTGAATAGAGGTCAATACTAGGGTTCTGGCCACTCTGACTTTTGTGTTCTCTGTATTATTTACAATGAAAGTTGAATTTTACTCACTTCTATTACTTGTACTTTGGGTGCTGAAAAGTGTTTAGGAAACTGTGGGAACTTGGTCTTAATACTGTAAAATGAGCAGGAATTGAACTTTGTCATGTGTGGGGAAGAAGACTCTGGTTTTCTAGTTTTATGATGAATGTACATACTCTCTTGGGGATGAAGTCATACTACATTTGGGGAGGAAAAACCCCCAAAAACATAGATCTGAATTTTGAAGGAGCTGTCAGCTGAGTTTGTTTTGGCAACTTGACCAGATTTGTGAAAGAGGATGATTTGCTGAGAACATACGGAAATGGTACATTCCCTATAGCTTCAGTGTTTCAATTAATTTTCAAAGCAGACTGCATGATGCAAGTGGAGTCCTGTACTAGTGCTGATACTTTCCACCACCCTCCTACGGGAGATGCCAGTTTTTCTTTTCATTTATACAGTGATACTGGTAGGAATGCAGAGGAGTGTAACATGGGTGTTCCTGGGTAACATTGATGCATTTTGCCGGAAGTCGTACTGTCCCTTTTAACAGTTGTGCTCTTGCTTTGCAGCTAGTGTTGATTTGCATTGCAGCAGAAGTTATTCCAGTTAATGTAAGCTGGAACTGGTTTATTTATCAACAGCAAATGGTGTTTAACTTCAAATGGCTGTGACTTGCATGACAGATCGCTGTGAATGTACTAGGCCAACAGTGTTTGGGGACCACGTAGTTTACAAACTGGCTTCTGTGACCTCCCATGCTGCTTCATTGTATGAACAAGGTAACTTTGTAGGCAAGTCCTAGAAAATCACTCTTCCTCCAAAGCTCTCACCAACATGTTATTTTTCCCCCCACACCCCTTTGCTTCCTCTTAGTTGGTCTGCTTTTTTTTGGTCGGTTTTTAGGCATTCTTGTATGAAAATCAATGGCTGATGCATTTAACGAAGTTCTAGTTGCAGGTATCAAGTCGCAATGCTTTTACGAGGTATGCCACGGTAATAAGACTTCACATGGTTACATGTGTCATCTCTATTTGGTTTATTTAATAAATAGTTTTTCACTAGAACCTGGTGCCAAGCGTCCTCTTGCCTCATTTATAGGCCTCTGCCTGCTCTGTCCTCAAGATTCTCATTAGAACCATACTTAGATACAAATGTACTGTGTGTATTTTGGGACAAATACTGACCTGTTAAAACTGACAAACTGATCTTGATGAAGTTGTTTTGTCTTGTTTCCTCTTTGAAGTTCTTTACTCTGGTTTACCCCATCG